AACATCTGTCAGGTATTTGATCCAGGGTGAAGGGTTGATCTATCAAATGATTTGTGTTCAAGTTTAGATCAGTTACTGTATCTGTGTTTTTGACTGGGTTTGTTGGATTGGCTTGAGATAGGAATGTATTTGTGACACATGGGTTTGGTTGCAGAGCAGAGGTACTCTTACCAAGGCTGAAGAACTGAAACTGATTTGTAGTCATGTCAACTACGATGCCTGTATTGTTGGCTGGGTTTGTTAAATTGATTTGAGACACTGTTGTGTTTGTTATACATGGATTTAGTTGGAGAGCAGAAGTATATGTACTACTGTATGTAAATGTAGAAGAAGCAGATGTGATGGTAAAATCTTTCATTCATATGTGTTGGAAAGATCGTTTAGCAACAGTTCCACTTAGAGAATTCACAAGTTTAAAATCAGAAGCATTAGGAATCATCTTTCCAAAGGGAACACTTTGCTTAACTCTGACAGTGTTCTCTTTGAATTTTTCAGCAGCCTCGGGGTCTAATTTGTGTGGGTTACAAAAAAATGGTGTCACGATCCAACTTTTAAAAGCCTAGACCGCGTTCCAAACTAAAATGTGGCATTCCGATTTGGACAAATTCCGTGAAAACTACCCAATCGTTCGGAAAGATTTTGCCATTCGCTTTAAATCAGCTAAATCGTAGCGACGCAAATGGGCATTTTGTCAGAAATGGGCAGTCCAGACGAAGCATTTTTCCGATTCGTCAGACAAGAAGCATTTCGCCAGAAAAAAAAAATCAGAAATTCTTATCCCGATAAAGAGCCCAGAAGAGAATTCAGAAATTCTGATCCCCATAAAGAACCTTGAAAAGAATTCATAATTTCTGATCCCATTAAAGAACCCAGAAGATAATTCAGAAATTCTGATCCCCATAAAGAAGCATGGAAAGAGTTCAGAAATTCTGATCCCCATAAAAAACCTTGAAAAGAATTCAGAAATTTTGATCCTCATAAAGAACCCAGAAGAGAATTCAGAAATTCTGATCCCCACAAAGAACCTAGAAGGGAATTCAGAAATTCTGATCCCCATAAAGAACCCAGAA